TAAATATCTAGTCCTATGGAAAGGGTATCCAATATCTGAAGCAACCTGGGAATCTGCAGAGAATCTCATCAATGCCTCAGAGGCTGTGTCAGAGTTTCATCAACACTATCTGGATAAGCCAGTGCCAGTTGGAACCTGGCACCTTAGGGGGGTTGTTGTCATGAATGGCACATTAGCAGTGACTCATTTGGGTCACAAACAGCAACGCATTGTGCAGTTGCTGTCCATTTTGCCACTGCCATGAATTTTCCATTTTTCTTTGATGAAAAAACTTCCACTTGTTTTTGTGTCCCTGCACACTGTGCCGACCACCTGATCTGCCTGTCCCCATGTCTGACACAAGGAGGCCAGGTGCAGTGTATAGTGCAGAGGCAAACAGGTTTATTGATTGTTGTTTTGTCAAAGAAAAAAGGGGAATGGGATGAAGTATGAAATAAAACCAAATTCCAAAATCCAGCCCATCCAAGTGTCTCTGACTGCTGCTCATGACAGTCTCTGCTTTCTGGAAACAACTTTGTGGTTCATTAAAAATCAAACTGAATGTATCCATGTTGTGAGATGGGCACACAGAGTAAAAGAATGTGTAAATTTTTGGCAAGAAAACTCAGACCAACACTTTCATAAAATTCAATATGGAATCAATGACACCATAAATTCATCTATGGGATATACACCATTTTATTTGGAATGTGTAAGACACCAACAAAATTTATTAAATATCAACCTCACCCCTGAAGACTCTCTTCAACTCTCTTCAACTCCAAGACATATGAGCAACTTATTAAGAAGCAAAGGATTGTATTTGACATGCTCAGGATTTTTATGTTGTTCTTGCAAATTGTGTTTCAGAATAGAGATCTTGTTTTAATATCACTCAGAGATTTTTGACCCCCAAATCTACAAGATTGCTTTCCTGGAAAATAAGTAGATCAATACTCAGGCCTGCATGTAAATTGGAGATGCCACAATATTGGCTTGTCCATCCAATTTTCATCTGGAGAAATAAAACTGTTTTCTTGGGACTTCAATGGTGCACAACCACTTGAATCACAGCCAATTGAAACAAAAGAAGCAGAAAAGGTGATAGAAGCACACAGAATTCAAGGATACCCCCAATTTCTAGTAAAACAGAAGGACCACAATCTGATCTTTAATTGTTGGATTAGTGCAACCCCTGAATTGGCACGAAAAATTTCAGTCAGAAAATTCTGAGATCTGAAAATCTATTTGCTCTTTTATTTTCTTTTCGAAACACCAATTTTTCCTAAGATTTTCATTTTTCATTGAGTTGCTACGAATTTCAAGGATAACAGCGAATGATTCTGGAGCAAATAAAGACATATAGTTTATCTCCCATGAGCAGCCTGTTTGTGCATCGTTTCCGGAAATATAATGCCGCTTTCGTTTTTAAAAACTGTTACGGAAAGGTTGCGGGAGATATCAGGTCTTTATTCTTCTTTTTCTTTTCTTAGTCCTTTGAATATTGGACCATTTTATACTCTGGTTGTTGGAATTTTCCAGAAATAAAAGTGATTTTCAAAGAACAAGGAAAATAGAAAGAAAAAAGAAAATAATAAAAATAAAAATGTTAAATAATACGATAAGGCGAAGTTATCCTGTGACAAACCATGAGCTCTTGTAACTCAGTGGTCAGAGTGTCTGTCTTATATGGGGCATTCCTCCGTATGCACGCAGAAGGTCGTGAGTTCAACCCTCACCTGGAGCAAGTTTTGTCCGCAAAATAAAAAATAAATTTCGGAAATTTGTCAAAATTGCTGATCGAGCAGTGTGGGGGTTGAACCCACGGCCTTTGGATTCGAAGACCAACGCGCTACCACTGCGCTAACCGCCCTTATACTAAGGGTTTTTAAGTTGTACTACAAACAGTAGTCATTAATGTCAATTTTTAAAATCTCTTTCTCACTCTATTGTTCCGTTAGAAGTCGTGAATCAACTATTCAAATAGCATTCATTCCTTTTGAGCTCCCGTCTCTCATTGTGAAAACAGAAAGTTCTCGAAAAATTGTCTGCATGGTATGTTCATGTCTTTGTTGCGGCAATGTGGTTCAGCTTCGAGAGACTCAGAAGCATAAACTGCATTTCTACCTTTCGTTGGACAAAATTTCGGAGAAAGGCCACGGTTTCCAATGTGAAATAAGCTGACGGAAGTGACCATGTTGAGAGTGGTTTATCTGTATGAAATCCCTCAGAGCATGATTTACCCACATCTCCAGTGTAAAGAAAGCGTTTCACAATTGGGAGAAGTCCGTGACTTCATATTTTTTGGGAAACGCAGCAGTTATTTCTGGACGAGGAAGTCTTGATACGTGCCAGAGAATCACTTCGCAACGCGGCGATTTATTCAATTCATTCGATAATTCTTGATCTCGGTGATTATGATGTCCTCTGCACCAATCTCCGACAACTGGTCCATCACATTTGCTGTATCTGCCTTGAGAACCATGACTGAAACAGCTACCCAACCTCCCGATTCACTGCGAAATATGCAAACTTGAGAAACATAAAAAGAAAACTGTAAATCTCAACTCACAGGGAAGACACAGTTGGAGCTTTCTTTCCAGGAGTTATTTGGACTGCCTGTGCAAGATTTTCCCGCGATACGTTGTATGTACAGAGGACATAACGTTGCGCGACTATGACTCCTTCAATACGACGTTTGATTTTTTCAACGAGAGGATTCAGGGCATGCTTGCGGGGATTGCAAATGAGCACTGCCTCAGTTGCAAGAATAGTTTCAATCGCGTGAAGATTCGCTGCGTGCATCGTTTCACCTGCAGAGGCGTTGGTGACCCTCGATAGTAGAATAAAAAGAAAGATATGAAGCAACTAACCAGACTCAACTAAATCCACGATTGCATCTGCAAGCCCCAGTGCACAAGAAGCTTCGACGGATCCTGACAGAAACTGGATTGTTGTTTTTCCTTTATCACTTTGGCTTTCGAGAGAATCGAAGTGCGTCCGTGTGAGATTGGGAAACGAAGTTGCGATTCGTTTTCCCACAAGATCAGAAGCGCATGTGTACGGCGAAGAAACTGGGGCCTGCACGCACAACTTGCACTTGCCAAATCCCAATTTCAACAGAATTTCGACATTAGCGGCGGCTTCGGCAATCATGTCCTGCGAAGAAATTGGTGCACATAGATAAGGTGCGATCAGTCAGAGTTCAGCGTCGTGATGCGGGGCAAAAACCTGGCCAGTTATACCAATGTCGACGTTTCCATCCCCTACGAACTGAGCAATGTCAGCAGCGGGAAGGAAGACGACGGCGATGGGGTGGTTTGTGGACAAAGCAATGTCGATACGATTCTTCCGGTGGAACTGGATGTCCGCCTGCGATCGTGACGGAGTGTCAGCTTCGCGGGTGTTAGGAAGTGCGTGCAAACCCCGGCCAGCAGAGTCAGCACTTGCTCGCTGAGACGGCCTTTCTTGGGGATGGCGAACAGCAGCCTGTCGCTTAGCTGTCGCGAGACCTCGTCCATGTTTTGTGCCAGCGCACGTTGTCGCAGTTTATTGTGCTGATGTGAATGAATCATCCCGACCTCGCCATCGCGACCACAGCAACGCGCAGCAACTACAGCACATACCTGGTCTCCGCATCCTTCCCAGCTTCCCTAGACGTCCACACTAAATCGCTCGTTCAAACTCTTGCCGATGCCAAAACGAAATGCAAGGTTCGGTGGGGCAAGCGCAATAAACTCCTTCTGCAACCATCGGTAGCTGCTGTGCTGCATCGGGGCAATTTAGCGCGAAAGGGCTTTACTACGCGATCGAGGGTCACCGACGCGTGGCCATTCCCGATGTGCGCGTGGTGATAGCGGAGAGTGTGAAATTGTCAAACCCGAGTGGGTCGGTCGCGGAGACCCCCCTACAAAAACAGCGAAGAATTCGGAGATGTTCGGGCATATCGTATCGCGGGGCATACAGCTATGAAGGACGTACTCACTCCGTGACTTCTTTCTCGTTCAATGCCACCTAGAGGAACGGGAGATTAAACGGTCGGCCGTCCCTATTGCCCGTGGACGGCGCGGGCCACCTGTCTTCCCGCATATTTTGTTTTGATCTCCATCTTTATGCCTTTTGCTCGTTCTGTCTTGTGGTGAATGAACGCTCAGTGACTCTGCGTCAGTTCCTTCTCTGCTGTCTGTGAGTGGATCGCTGCGAATGACAGCTGCAGTGCCGGCGCATTTCTGCTCCGGCAGGTGCCCAAAAAGAAAATGCAGCCGTTGTTGGAGTGGCCGATGCCTACCGACGCGGTGCCCTTCGAGCCTCCTCCCGGCATGTTCAAGATGGACAGCGTCGCAGTAGCACGCTTCGTCGCCGCTGCCGCTCGCCCCTTTGGGCCATCCCATACCCCAACAATGCCGGCAGGTTACGTTCTTTACGGCCATTCGCGCCAACAGCCTACGAATCACGTGGACAAGTATCTGCTCGGACATCCTTCTGGATCGCGGTTCAGAAGGTGCTCAGTCCGGACATACCGGAATTTAACAACACATCACCAGCGCTCTCGAATTCCGTCCACACTATGCTTATCTCTTTGGCGGACAAGAAAGCGAGTGCGTTTGCACCTGTTGTACAAAGATGCACAAACGTCCATCATCGAAAATTTCAACTCCGGTTCCCCCTAGTCCACACACAGGCATCGCGTCTTCTTCAACAAACTCTGTCCCGGATTTTCAGTCCTCCGTATCCTCAGTGAAGAAGGTAATTGCATTGGATTCGAAGCCAAATTCCGTGGAGGGGAAGAATGCCACGCCAGGCGGCCAATCCGCTCGGTCTGTCAAGGTCAGGAAATCGCTCGATGCGAGTTCTTGGAAGCTTCCTCGAAATGTTGAGTTGGCCGGCTCTGAAAAACTGAAAGCAACAAGTCCTGGGAGGAAAACCGTTATGAAGACGGATTCAATTCAGGGAACTGCCACGCTAAAGCGGAAAGCTAACGAATCGATTGGCAGTAACGATGCAAAAAGGAATTTTTCTGAAAACCGTGCGGCAATCTCGCAAAAAAGTCTTTCCGCAGAAATATTGGAAGATGACCCTGCCATGACTTCTGGCAGTGAGGCAGTGAATATCTTAACGCCGTCGAAGCTAATAACGAAGTCAAAAGGTGACTCAAATGAAAATACGGATGAGACAAAACTTGGAAAACCTGAGTCCGGAATGTTGAGAATATCTGCTAAGATCACACTACGTGATTCAATTGATACAGCCAGTGAGAATTCGAAATCTTTGGATGCATCTGCCGAGTCGTTGGAATCTCTCAAAGAGGAACGTTCTCGTGTGATCTCCACAAAGGATTCACAAATTGTCCATACTGAAATTTACGATTCAGTTCACGAACCAATTTTGAGTACCGCTCCAGCCGACAAGAGCGAAATTTCTTCCAATTCCTCCCAGCAAGAGCAAAAGATGCCGGTTATCAAACAGCAAATTCCGGCGCCAACAAACACATCGGCTCCAAGCCGAGAAACGCCAAAAGATTCTAAAAGTGTCGTTAAACAAAATAACGCCAGCATGGATCAACCATCAAAACCCCGCTTGGCAGAAGGCCATAAGAACACAGTTCCCTTACATCGCGTTAATGATCTTATCTGTGTGGAAGCCATGCTATTTTCGGATTCATTTTCCAAGAGTCGTCCTTTTGAAGTTTTCAAGAACCCCACGACGAATGCATCGATAGCTGTAGATAAAACCCCATTATATTCTTCGCCAGTCTTCTGGCCTGGGTTGGTGGAGGCTGTGATAACAAATCCGGCTGCAAGTTCATTCGTGTGGACAACACCACTGCTCATCAATACCACACAAACGCGTAATGGTGAATCAGTGGTGACGGTTTCGACAGCCGCAAGTTTCCATGACATCGCGAAAGTGGTCGATCGAAAAACGAGAAAAATACTTCATAAAGTTTCGTACCGTATTCGTCTACTTTACGTGGACAATGGCGCTCTTCCTTTGCCAGAGCAATCTCTTGTTCCTGCGCGCTATATTCGAATTCCGAGCATGTTGATTCCTCCGGGACTTGACAGCGCAACGTTGAACAGTGTTTGCATTTCAGGGAACAATGCGACGCGCGGTTTGCGCGTTACACCAGGATTCGATGTTGGGATTGTGAGTTTGCTTCAGGCGATGAATTTCATGATGAGAATAGTGTGGGAAACACCCCCTGCGGCATTTACCAAATCAAAAAGTGGTGCGTATGTTGCAGTATTCGTCTCTGGGGCAGCTGTGCTTCCTGGGGACTATGTAGTCGTGAAATTGGGTGGTAATGGCGGTGCGGCGACAGACTACCGAATCATGCGTGTACAAAGAATCGGCAGCGACGGAAAGGCGACATGGATGGTGGTGCGTGAGTGTGTGGGCAAGGTGGGACGGGAGGGCTCGGGGTGCGCGGTTATTGGCAGTGTGTGGGATAGCGAGTATGCGCTTGGCGCGACAACGCGCGTTGCAGCTGCGGACGTGCAGACGCGCGTTTACGAGGGCTTCCCCGTTATCGCCGGCGACAGCGTTGGCGAGTGCTTGGTGCTGCGCGCGTGACCTGCAGGATCCACGGCGTTTTGCCAATTGGGGAGCACAAAAACTACGAGTTTGGATTGTATTGCAACTAAGCACGCAATTTGCCTTTACTTACAGGCAGCCAATTCACATCACAACTTTACTCCTGGCCAGCAGCAACAGGGAATTCAAACACAACGTCTTTGCCAGTAATCTTTTTGTAAGTGGACGAAAAGGTGTCCAGTTTGTATTCCAGAGCAGTGTGGTCCTTGCGGTCAAGGAAAACTTTGATCAGCTTGCTACCGTCCACTCTGACCTTGGTTCTCTTTCCAACGATTTCGG